TGCCGAAAGCAGGTATTCGCGCGGGGGGGGGGGGAGGCATTTTCTCGATATTGACTGCAATATACTTAGTACACTCGGTTTTGACGTTCTTCTTTCACTCCCATACACACCTATGTTTGAACGAAAAAAAGGTGTTCGCATTTAAATAATCGTACTTTGTCCCTATTGGATCCGGATTTTGTGGTTTAATTTTTTCGATTACTGTAGTGCAGTATTTTTCCGTAAAAAACGCGGCCATTGTGTTTCAGTAGTAGATCGAAAGCAAATTCGCCGATAAAAATGCCACCAGACATGTTTGAAGAGACGCACTTCTATGCAGCGATTGAAATAACTATCAACATTATAAAACCGAAATTGAACTTAAATATTCAACATTGCTACCGGTTTCTTGGCATTTCACTGAATTGTTCAAAACTCTTACTTTAGCGATGCGCTAGAAATAGTTAGTTTTGTAGTCATGTGTGGGCACGTTCTTACACGGGCACCCGAGAAACTCTCAACCCACAATGCAATGCATGTGCACCTCGCTGCCGTATACCAGTCAAAATTATCAGTCACATTGTCTCAGCGCCAACGGTATGTTATATATATTCCAATTAAAATACCGGCACTATGTATACCGGGTTTCCAAGTATACTTTGCCTCGGTTTGTGATCCTTGCTAATATAAAGTTCTCACGGTAGTAATTTTGGATGGAATTTTTTTAGGGGGTGGGTGGGTGGGTGAGTGTAGTAAAAAGTCGCATCAACAAATGACAGTTCGCTGGTTACCAAAAGTCGCAGGATTCTGCGTCGCTCTGTAATACGTCACCTTCGACGATCAGCATTCTATTTATCCAACTGATTCTGAGTGTATGAAAGCATCGTGATCTTACCAAGCGCCCGTTGCGTTAACTCTTGAAAAAGTCAAATGTATTACTATATATCATTAGCTGGATAGTTCAGCATTTCCATGGCAACACGATTCCGTGGTGTTTTTTCCTTCTCACAAGTACGACTGATTCAAAATTGTACGACGCGCAGGCTAATGCGTTTATGTTTGGGAAGGGTTGCCTCCCCAGTCACCTCATCGACAACAGAGGAAAAAACAACACAGCTGGGAACAGTCGTTCTAGGCGTTACCATTTCTCACAGCAGCTGGGAACATGTTTTTATCAACGGGATAGGGATGCTCATACAGCATTTTGGGTTAATTTTAGCTTTGGGGATTTGCGCGGGTACCCTTAAGAGCCATTTAAACGCCGCTTTTTCTTGTTCTCGATATCCAAAATATCGACTGAGGCGCTGACCCTCAGTCTTGTATACACATGGTTCATATCTGAACACATCGGTACCAACCCGCGACACAGACTTCAGCACGCTATGGGTAATTATTCCCTCTACTGACTGTTTTCCCACCGTACGAATTTTGGTATTATTAATAACTTTTACCACAGCCGCGGATCCCATTGTTTTGATTGGTTCGTTGCGTGCAAGGGAGTACGGGGAGTGGCTGCTTTCTCCCGTTATTCATATTTGTGGCTATTAATGTATTTAGCGGCTAGTCTCTGTTGCACAACGCTGACAATTACTTCTCATCTCGCCAATTTACGTTGATTTACCAAACATGCTCTTCACGCGCTTATATTTTCCTTATTTTTCACGTGTTTTAACAGAGAACCAGGAAAGCCGAAGCGGAGGCTCGAGCGATGAAGCATGTGGCGACGACTCTGGCACTGCACCGCTTGTCATCGCAGAAGCGCCGACGCAAAGTGATGACGGCAACAACAAGAGGAATGATAGAATACGGGATGAAGAGAGGATGCGAAAGCTTGAAGAAATTATTGAAAGTCGATTGAAACCGACGTTGTCACGAGCCTGTGTTACCGGAGATACGGCAACATCGGGTAGTGATAAAAAAGAGCATTCTTTAGAGAAAAGCAGCGTTGATGCGAGCAAGAAAGTGCACAGTACAACAGATGGAAAGAATACTGCTCTCGGCCAAACCAAATCACGTCCCCCTCCGCTATTAAAAGTATCTCCCGGGTCAGCCTTCGAGAAAGTGATTTCGCCGCACTTTTTCCAAAAGGCGCCAACTACACTCGCACCGCCGCCACCACTGGAGCCATGCGATGGCCACTCTCAGCTGTTTTATCGCGGGAAGGTTTCACCGTCTTCGCCAAAGAAAGTGTCGCCCACTTACGAACAATCCATGCCACCTTTCGTGATGACCCCGATCCCGATTCCGGCATTATATCGAAACGCATCCCAAGAAGCCCTAAACCTGTCCCGGCGCCCGTCGAGAACTGATTCGGAATCCAGCGACGTGTCTCGAGACTGTAAAAGCAAGAGCACAAGCCCAGAGTACATCACCAAGAAAAAGTATATACTGGAGCGCAATGGCAGACCATACGATGTTCCGTCGGTTGAGTTGATTAACGGAGGAAAGTACATGCAGCCACCCGTCTTAACGTCACATTCGCCGACTGAAATATCACCAGTTTTTGCACCGAGTAGAAGCCATGCATTTCCCTACCCGGGTTTCTACATAGATCGAGCCAGACCCGAACCGTTTATGTTCACTCGTCACAACCCCATGATGCAGAATGGATACGTCTCATTTGGTCTTCGTAGAGGTAGTTTTATAGAAAGGGATCCTATCCACCATCACCCTACACAAGAGATACCCTTGAATCTACACCAGAATACGAAAACAGAAGCAAAACAGGAGCCAGATTTCCCCCGAGAGGCGATGCACCACAAATACGAGATGAATGACATCAATAGTAACGACACCAGTACTGTGTCACAATACGCCGACATGCCCGTTACGGGTGACTCTAAAGTTAGGATCGATGGTGAAGATCCCGAGAAGCTGCAGCCGAAAAATATTAAAGTGAACGGCATTGCCTTAGACCAGTTGATCGCGATGCAAAATACAGTTCCTGCGAAGAGAAATGGCAAAACGGTCGCCAGACCACCGATCATGGGGGTAGAGTACACGCAGAACGGCACTGATATGCGATTACGCGACATGATGGAGAAAGACGAGGCCAAAATCACAAGGGGAGAGTCATGGACAGAAGAGGGGGATGAAAGAGACAGTAGTCATGGCGATTCGGAAGAGATGAGCACTTGCGACGAGGGAAGTATCACGTCTACCAGCGTAGTTGCGGATGACCACGGCGAAGATGACAAAACATCGCCACAGAACAGGAAATATGTATGCGACGTTTGTGGCAAGGGCTTTAGTAGAAGCAATACACTTGTCACTCACAAGGTGAGCCGGGTTACCATTTAGTTTCATAATTTGTATACCAGAATACAATATCTGACAAGAATAAAATAGGTTTACTGCGTAAGCTTGTTACCGATCTGTGGTGGTTTCGCCATTCAGGCGGACGGAAAACAAAATGAACCATTGCATTATATAATACAGATAATAGTACAGTCCTTAACTGGGCATACCGATAAAAAAAGGGGGGGGACAATATATCAGTTGGGATCATTTTCGTCTTTACTAATACAAATAAGAACAAAACATTTTTATCTCGATGCATGCACATATCAGATTGAAATAACGGCATGTTTTTGTTTTATTCTCGCAAACTTGTTTTCAAATTCATATTTAAAATTCAACTTGTATAAACTTTAGTTATACTACTAGTAGTATATTCAGTAAAAGTGCATAACTGGGTATATTGTTTAAAACGCTTTAATTACTAAAATTTAAAATTATAAATTTATTCACTTTAATGTTATTGACACCGTCTATGTCGGTGACTGTGGCGTTACTGAAGCGCGAAACGCATTGTCACGGGGTGCGTAAGTTGACACTGGTATTTAAATGACGAAAAATATCTGCTTGGATGTAGCACTGGTTCTCTACAATCGTAAAACCAATGAGTTCAATTCCGCCGCAGTAACGGCGATGAAAGATTTCGTTTTATCCTCCATTCCGTGCCCCCTCCACACACTCGGACATTGAAGTTCCACCGTTATTAATGACGACAAGGAAATCCATACAACAACCCCAAAATATCCGCTTAATGTGCATATCGCATGAGAATATTTCTCTTTCCATACTGAAACCGAATTGTTGCAATGTGCTTAAAATAAAACTCGTGTAGATTCTGCTCTTAAAAAGACTAACTGAAAATCCCTAAGATACCAGTAGAAATTATCGAACGGGGATATAAGTACCATATATATAAACCCGATAAACATGAATATTGATGTATTTTAACGACAAAAAGTGGTGATAAATATTAAAAAAAAAAGATAAATTAATACGTACAGGCACTAGTTGGCGATAGCCCGAGTTGAAAAAGTTATAAATATCGATTGTTTAAGTCGCACCGTGGTGGATGTAACTTATTCAGTGGATATGAACAGACTTAAGGATGAACCCAAAAGCTGCGTTAACAAATGCGATACAATTAAAAGGCAGAGTAGTAAAGTAACGTAACGTATGTGGATGCTAATCGTATACAGGTCGTGGCGATAACGATATTTTTTTTTTATTTTGGCTCTTATATACAAGATATAAATATATATAAATTAGTCCACCTTCTGGAATACTGACTCACGACACTCGTCACGCAAGCGCGGATGATTTTTAATAATAATAAAAAAAACACCAACACGTTGCGTGCGAGTACCTATTCTATTTCAGTCCCAATTGCATTGATTGTTAATTGGCCATGTGATATACACATTTCGTTCGTCCTCAAACGCGTGCATGTTTTGTTTTACATTTTGCAATCTGAGTTTAAAGGGCGGCAGTCGTCGCGCCGCGTCCTGTTCGATAGGGGACTCATAGCGACGTATACAACGCGTGTGAAATGCATTGTTTATTTACGTGAAATTCGAACACTCGCTGCGCGACGATCACCGCGCTTTAACAAGAAAAGTTTTTCGGACATTAGCCTGTCCTTTCAACATCCCTATCTCAGTAGAAAACCAGTAAACAGACACCTTATCATGGCGAATTTCAAATCTGTTAGAACACAAGTTGAGATGATTTTAATTAATCATAATTTTTTTAATTAAATGAAAATATAGATGTTTTTTAGTTTAGAAAATTTAAATTTTAAAGGGGCTTAACTTTTTGTGGGATTAGCATGTGTTGCTGCGTTTATTTCTCAATATTTAATGCCAGATTACAACTGATTGATTGATTGATCCTGGGTGTGCGGACTTATTGTATGGATTAGGATAGACACAGTTGAGGGGCCCAGTTCTTATTTCGGAAGATGGATGGATTGATTGATTGCGAAGTATCCCAGACGCGAGTTCAGTGTAGCTGGTGGGACACTCTCGCCCCTTTCTTTCTTTGAGATTTGTATATTAACAAACATTTGTCATTTTTCAGCGTATCCACACAGGTGACAAGCCATTCAAATGCGAAGACTGTGGCCGAGCGTTCCGACAACCTGGTAACCTAACCCGTCACCGACTGACTCACACCAGTGTCAAGCCATATGTGTGTTCCCAGTGTGGAAAGGTGAGAACAACAATAATTTTCTTACCCACAATGCATCATGATCAGGTCAAAATAACGCGACATTACAAGTTATCCATTTTGGTTTGACCCCAGCAATATACAAGCGAAACATAATCGTTTTTTAATAGTATAATCTTATTTATTTTTTATTTCAGGCTTTCAACCGAGCTTCTAATTTGCATACGCACATGCGCACTCACACCAACTACAAACCATTCGTCTGTCAGTACTGTGGAAAAGGTTTTCATCAGAAGATTGATATGAAAATACATTCATACACCCACACCGGTAAGTTGAATTACGTCGTCTGCTTGCTTTCCCGCGTTCTTTTTTTCGAACTCTGCGTCTGGAAATGCAACACAGCCCTCATTGGCGTATTAAACGTGCCAAATGATTCGGGTTTCATTTGTACACATCATGTGGGAGCTTGGTAAACACACGATAGGAATGATGTTCTTATTAAATCTTGTTGTAGGCGAAAAACCACACAAATGCAAGAAATGTGGACGAGGATTCAAGCAGTTAACCCACCTGACCTATCACATGAGGACTCACTCTGACGTCAAGATGTATACGTGTTCGTATTGTGGGAAAGGGTTCAACCAGAAAGGCAATCTCCAGGCTCATATCTACGGCCATACAGGTGAGACAAAGTATTGAGAGTTTATGAAGGGCGATCACTTGATTCTTCAGGAGGGGACTCCCCGGTCTGATTACGCTTTCGTTTCCTTGGCATTGCATCATCGTTAACTTGAAAAAACTCGGTTTATAAGCGAATCACCTGCCTCGTTTCGCACTGAATGTTTTTCCCATATTTTTGGCCCATTTGTTTCGTTCTTCTTGCATGAAACTACACTGTCTTATCTTCAAATCAATGGTATATCATTGTTTTTGTGTTATTCTAAATTCTAGGTGAACGACCCTATAAATGCGAGATATGCGGCAAAGGTTTCACTCTTGCAAGCACTCTGAATACTCACCGACGAACCCACGCCGACAAGAAACCCTTCATCTGCAAGTACTGCGGGAAAGACTTCTACCAGAAGAACGCTCTCAAGAGCCATCTCATAGCCTCGCACCCGTACACAGGCGAGAGTTTGCTTTGAGATTTACTAAGACGTTGTCATACGATTTTTCAAAATTGTTGCAAATATTACTGAAAATTTATCTGGCTGATACAACCAGTTGCGCAATACTTATGTTAATTTTGAACTGGGTTATTAAGTTTATTATTATTATTATTTTAAGTTCTTTTATTTGAATCTAAAGTTGTTCACAAGGGCAACACTAAATGATTACAAAACAAATCCAACTGATTGTAGTGTTTCCTACTGTTTAGCGAGATTAATTGAATGGTGTGAATTTCCATCAAATGGATACTTCTTAACAAACTAGGTTTGAGAAAAAATATACTTTTTGATATTTTGTTTCCGTTTTGTTCAAACTCACTTGTAGCTTGGTTGGCGATTTCCATGGCATCCTTATTTTTCCAACGTTCATTCAAAATTTCGAGGCAGTTCATACTATTAGCTTTATTTATTTCACAAACAGAATTTATTTCCATGTCACTTGTGAATGTACAAATGAAACATTGGTTTTGTTTGGTGGTTCAATCTGAACTATTCAGGTGAGATTACATTATAATAAAAGAGTATCTGTGTCAAATCATTTTTATCATTACTTATTTGGGACAGAATACGTGTTTAAATGCGTACAACATGTTGATTGCAAGTACGGCCAAGCCCGTGAAAGAAATGGTTTCTCGGACTCGGTCAGAAATTTTGGCTGAAAATTTTTTTTTTTCTATCGCTGTTTAAGCTTATTAAGACTAGTGATGTTGTTGGCCAATTCTTTCCACTGGTCCCGACGTGCATTGCGAAGGGCGAGTGACTGATCCTACCGAAGTAATTTGCTGCCATCGTTAGCCTCGTTCCCAGACATGTAATTAATTATCTGTAAATTGTTGAAAGTGAATTTTGCACTTCGAGGCTGAAAGTCAAATAAGCAATTAATTTATAGTGTGCTATTTTTGTTGACTGTGTAAATAAACGAGTTTAAACGAAATAAATATTTCTTTATTACACTTTTGTGGCAGACTATCGCGTGGTCGTAGAGTGGTCCTGCCAACGTGACGTATTCTTTAAAGGCAGTTTGTTCAAATTTTCATGTTTGCAGAATTTAATTTCTCGAAATGTCGACTTACCGTCGTATTAGAAGTGGTAGATCATGTTTTAATGGTTGAAATGTCGACAACACTCGCAGTTTTCTTAATTTTGTTTGTAGTATGAAAGACAATAAATCACGCCGCTAGAACCACCCTATAACTTGCGTTCTCATAGTTCTCGGTTTCGGTCAGTCGACCTGTAGATCAAAGCCTGTAGCCTATAGGAAAGTAATTTTCAATTGGTTCGACATCATTTTAAACAATTTTTTTAGAAAAAATGCATAAAAATAGACAAAACGATTATAGAAACAAATATGGAGTTCAAACGTCAATTAAGATTGGGTTTGGCCTCTGACCCGGACTGATAAGTTATGGTGACTTGAGTACTTTCCGTATACGACCATTTTCATTCTATCATTGCATCCTTGTCTTATTGAGATACAGTTGTAAATACTAGTAATAATGTTAGAGTAGCATCGCTTATACTCCATCGTTACAAAGCACAGTGACTACTACCAGTGCTGCAACGTTCGGCTTCATCACTGTTATGAACAAGTGCCCACTAGAACGAGAACCGCGACGACCTTGCCACCAGCGGTGGGATTCAATCCTGTATCAATGCATCGCCGACTCCGCCTCCGCAGCCAGGGTTTCCTCAGTTTGTTCTTCTTTTTTGATATCCTCCATGCTATCGTAAGAGGGCGCTGTTGCGGTCATCGGACCCTTCTTTTTGATGTAGATGACATTGAATATAATCACTAATACGGCCACTAATGTCCACTGAAACAAATTACAAAAAAATAACCTTCGATGAATTATATTTCACCAGTATAACGATTACAGTGAAATAGAGGAGATGTCCACGCCACGCCGTGTTTGATATGGGTGCCATTCGATCGTTTTACACGAAATTTAAACACGTTGCTCGACGGTAAGCAGTCTATAAATAAAAATAAAACTAGGTTTACCTGTACAACACAACTGAGAAGACCGTCACTGGTTACTCTGTACCAGTCGGGATTATTATGTATTTGGTCTAAAGCAAACCAGACTAACAGTGCTGCGACTTCTATTGGTGCAAGAAATCTAATAAAAATATGAGAAACATTGGTTAACGTTGACAGTTCAGTGTTACGTGATAAAATTTATCATTTTGTTCATCCGATATTTTGTAGCTAGTATTGCTATCATACTCACTGGGTTATCCTCCAAATATCTATTATACTGTAACTTCACGGGTATTTTTTTATTTTATTTTATTTGTACCGCCACGGAAACCTTTTGTTGTGAGATGAATGTTTGCACGAGCCGGGAACTGAGACTATGCGCGTCTTGGAACTAGTCTAAAATTTGCGCTGACGCAAGCGCGCATGATAACCCGAACTTATCCATTTCTTGATTACACGCACCGTCGAAACATTAATTAATTAATTAATTAATTAGCCTAAGTGGGGCATGTCGAACTGTGCTCCCCATACATAAAATCAACGACACGCATGAAACAGACGCACGGCTGTAAAAAATAACTAAATGCATAATTGGCGGGTAGATATAATTCGTTTCAATCATTTGTTGAGCTAAAAAAACTCCATCAATCACCCGATCGACGTAATCCTTTGTCTGGGTGATATTTTACGTGGCCCAACTACTGTAAAAAACTTTATTTTCGCTTGGAATTAATCTTCTCTATTTTCGCTGAATGAATGAATGATGATGATTCAGTGAAAATAAAATCCCTCGCATATATCTTTTTTCCTATATTTTACATTCAACTTGTCAAAAACCAGTGAAAATAAATTCCATGCAAAACACCCAAAAAGTCTTTTCAGTGAAAGTTAATTCCAGATAAAATAAAGTATTTTACATTAACAGTTATAGAGACACATATCGTCAAAACACGTGCGAATTCCGTCAGACGTCATATTACTACAACCAGTAAAAATTATATAGAATTGCAACTGGAGGTATAAAGTTAAAGCGTAACATTTGGTAAATGTAGCGTTACATGTAGTACGACACCACCTTTGACCTGAAACCTCCGCCCTTCCGATAAGACATGCAATGTACATCTAGTGAGGTTCACGGAGAATATTTCCCGTTCAGTTGTGGAAGAATACATGTAGTTTGAATTGAAATTGACATGTGTAAACAAACATAACAGTAAAATATTTTCAATTGACCTAAATAAATTGAGGGCTCACCGATCTTATAATAATTTAGAGCTTTCGAAATGACCAATAATTTTAAATACCGCAAATATTTTGGGGGTTTAAGGCTATGGAGATATTATAAATGAAGCAAAATACCCATTCTTGATTCGAAGGAGAGTGTTTTACATGTGACAACAAATAAAAAGTTGCATCATCAATAAGAAAGTTTCTGTTAAAACAACGTGTCATTTAGTCAACATGTCATGGAATAATCAACGCTATGCAATACAAGTCAGGGCATATTCTGTGAAATTACCATGGAAATGCATGTACCGGTTTAGTGAAAAGAAGAAAAAAGACCAAAATCAGTTGCAAATGATCAACTTTGATCACCGATTCATTATCTGAGTTTGTGAGCATAATGCTGCAGAAACTTTGTTTCGTTCACTAAATTACAGGGGAGCATACGCTAAGTAATTTGGCAATGATGTCAATATAAAAGTGCATTCGCCAAGTTTAACATTCATTACAATTCCAGCCGGGACGTCTTCTTCCATGGCTTACTACCTTACTCAGTTAATTACACGACACAATACACTTACTTGATTATCCACTCCCATAGTTTTGGCAGATGCCAGTCATTGGTGCTGAAATCATTGATCAGAATCGACCTGAATTTGCTCGATCCGTATCTCCATACCAAATAAATGAAAGCAATGCCTGATAAAAGCAATGCATAGCTCCACACTAGATCCTAAAGAGGAACAAACACAAATACACTAATGTAGGCACAGTATTATAACTATGAAGCGCCACGGGTGTCTTGCTGGCGCGTCGTGTTCGATATGGGTCCCATGCGAAGTATAAAACGCGTGTAAAGTACATAACTATATTGACACTGCAACATGATATGCATCACATTGACATAGTAACATGCATTAACATATATTGATACTACAACATTAAATGAACCACATTGACATAGTAACATGAAATACAAGATATTGACACTACAACATGAAATGAACCACATTGACATGGCAACATGAAATACAAGATATTGACACTACAACATGAAATGCACCACATTGACATAGTAACATGAAATACAAGATATTGACACTACAACATTAAATGAACCACATGACATGGCAACA